AAAAACGGAATAGGAACCGCACAAAGCTACAAGATCTCTTTTTTTAAGTATACAGGTTACTAAAAAGCAGTTAGTAGTGTTTTTATATTATTTACCACTTGGGGTATGGTGGTCGACCACGTGCCCTTATTAATGTCTCTAAGGTTTTTGCGGCTCTAATTGAGGCATAAAATACGAGTAAATCCGAATTTCTTTTGGACACCTGACGGTTTCTAAAGTATTTACATCAAGAAAACAGTGCCAGCCAATTCCTTCCTCGTAAGTAATGCAGCTTATTTTTGCACATTATAATGTGGTGGACTACATACATCGTCCTTTGTAGATGCTATAATTGTCCTCCGAAATAGTCCTCCAGAACGTAAATGCCGTTGGACAAACTGTCTCATCTAGCTCATTCTAATCCACTAAATAATGTACGCAATATGACGAGGAGGGGTCCGAGAATTGGGGAATTTTAGTGGTAACACGTTTTGATGCACAAATATACGCCGTGATTCAGTGTGTGCTTTAGCAAATACACTCGAGTCAGCGAAGTTAATGGACTGTTAGAGAATCCGCCCGTGTGCTATGATGTCAAAGTGTAAGGTCGCCAACGCACAGTGCTCAAAGGATCTGAGCCTGTTTAATATGTGCCCGACACAGCCCCTGATCTCCTTGCCTCTCTCCTCCTACTGAACACAAGCGGGCGAGGGACGCGCGAGTGCGGTAGATGCATCGAAAGTCACCGCGTTTGCTTTCAGCCTTGTGAAACACGTGTTGGTCGTCATCGACTGTCGACCTCGTCAGTGCAAGGTTGTAAAACCTCCCCACAGTCGCGCCCGCGAACCATCGTGGTGCGGATCATCGCTCACGGCAACCCGTACACCCCATTCGGACAAAGATTCTTTATATGGAACAGCTCAGTAACAAGAAACCCCAGGCTTCTGTCTTACGGGACCGGTATGAATGGGGGTTTGATGGGTGGGGCATAGCAGCCGAAGGAGAAAGTAAATAAAATAACAGAGCGAATAAAGGTAGAAAATAATAGGGATAATTGTTTAACTAACCTAAGGTTTGGCACCAAGAAGCTTGCGATAAGTAAAATTAGAAATACGACCAAAGCAAACGAGGAATTCGGAAATAGCGGAACTACGCAACTTGCGAAATTATGCACAGAAATGCGACTTTTCGAGACTGAACTAAAAACATGAAAGATGAGCTCTTTTCCCATTTTTTAAAACCGAAAAGCAACCGCATGTCGTTAATAAACCTAAACTAACTAAACGAAGGCAAACTTAGGTAGAATAAGCTAACCAAACTAAAAATTAATCTAAACTAAAAGAAAACTAAAGAACAAACGAGAAACTAAACTGAAAATCAAATTAAATTTACTAAACTCAGATAGACTAAAATAAACGATCAAACTTGAATACTAAAGCAAAATAAGTAAAACTACACAAAAGGTAAACTAAACTTAAGCGATTAAGCTGAAAACTAAACATAAACTTCAAAAAATTAAAAGTAACCGTATACAAGAAAAACTGTAGAAACATGATGTATAAAAACACTACAATCCTCGATTATATTAAAAGTAGGTAGTTATGTAGAGAAAACTGCCAACTGTTCCCTATAAGAAATTTTATCCCCGTTTGTTCTTAGTGCATGGAATCATTTCAACCTTACTTCGCTCTTCTCAGGCCAGCCGCCCTTTATGACAGCGTTTTCCTCTCAGGCAGACTACTACTGGAATAGGAAACCCGACCCGAATTCCCATGAAGGTCGGTTCTTCAACATCGTCAGGCAGAAAATAGTCTGCAATTTTAAGTCTGTTGAATCCCAGTCAAGTGTATTTGCCACGAAATTTTCCATTTAAGGCTCTATATAAGCTGGCTTGCACTCCCTGCCCACATCATTTTAAGGCAAGTAGTAGCAAACTGCCCACGATCGATAAGTCCGTTTGTCACCTCATTATATCCCACTGACCGCCAGCATATTAAGTATGCTGGTACTATGGCTGTTAGTCGCCCCAGTAAAAAGGAAATGCAATCGCACTTTCTGGAGGATGGTTCACATTGTGCCTTTGTAAATTCATTGAAAAATAGTCTCTCATTTAATAATCTGAAAGTAGTCCAGCTTATGCTTCGACCTAGACCTGTAGCGTAAATGCAGTAGGAGTACCCAGAGCGC